AGAACTATGTATACAAAACATCCAGATGATTGACTGAAAATTTAAGTATTTGTCGTCGTATTTGGTACCGTGTTAGCACAGCTTATGCTGAGGAGTATATTTTCGGAACTGCTTCACTCATCTCCCTATAAAGTAGGTAGCCTAGCAGATTTTTTAAGCAGGAAAAAAAAAAAAAAAAACCAAAAAGCAAAAAAAACACCTTTCATACTCAGTTAAAGGATATATTCGTTATTGAACATTTTTATTCAGATTATTTCATTGTCTGTAGTTCAAAGGGATCCTGTTAAAATGTTCCATTTTGAATTCCAGAGAGGAACAAAGATCTGAGTTTGTGGTCCAAGAACTGTCGTTTCATCCAGCCCTCACTGATGATCTGACCACCCTCACTTTGCCAGCCTCTCCTCACGCACTAGCTCTCCATCTTAAACGGGAGACCACCCAGTGCTGCTGCCGTCTGACTCTAAGAATGCATGGCAGACGCTATCACTGTGGTCAATGGCGCAGGCAGACTAGCTTTGCTCAAGATACAATCTCCCAGTACCTTTGTTTCTTCCTCAATAAAATGAAGATAATACTATCTGGCTCATAAGGTTATGTGAGGATTAAATAGGATAATGAATGTAAAGTGACCTGCACATACTAAGCAGAATATTTAATGGATTAAATTGGTTCCTGCAGTATAGAGTCAAATGCTGTAGTTCGTTCTTTTTTTTTTTTTTTTTTTGAGGAAGATTATCCCCGAGCTAACTGCTGCCAATCCTCCTCTTTTTTTCTGAGGAAGACTGGCCCTAAGCTAACATCCGTACCCATCTTCCTCTACTTTATATGCGGGACACCTACCAAGCATGGCTTGCCAAGCAGTGCCATGTCTGTACCCAGGATCCGAACTGGTGAACCCTGGGCCGCCGAAGCAGAACGTTCGCACTTAACCGCTGTGCCACCGGGCCGGCCCTCCTGTAGTTCTTTCTTATTTCAAGTAGTTGTGAGCCCAGCTCACCTCTGCCCCACATCTCCCACTTGATTCTGCTCACTGAGCTCCGTTCCCCATCTGCAGACTCGAGTTCCTTAGCTCATCCTCTGTAGCAGACATCAGTTGTTGTTTGTGCCTCAGATATTTGCATTTCATTATGTGTTACCATAAGTCAATGTGGGCGTGACTTTGCTTTCCCAACTAGGTTGCACTGTGGGAATTTTGATATACTTTACCATATTGTTCCTTCTTCTAAAATTGTATTAATTTTTGCCTTCATTCATCCACTCAACAAATATTTATATTTATTGTCCATTATGTGTAGGCCCTTGGAATATACAGAAGGGACCAAATAGACAAAGTCCATGGATCTTGCCTTTAGCAGAGATAGACTGAAAATAATGAGTCAAGTAAACAGATAGTATGTCCATTGGGAGTGTTGGGAACATTGGTGTTCTTTTCCGTGAAGACCCTCAGGAAGATAGGGAACAAGTTATGCAGAACTCTACAGGAAGAGAGTTCAAGGTGGAAGAACCAGCAAATGCAGACTTCCTGGGGCAAGAGCATGCATGACTTGCAAGCACATCTAGGGGACCACAGGCTCACCAGAGTAAACTGGGCAAGACTGGTAGCTGGTTAGGTCAGAAAAGCATCAAGGGACCAGATTACATAGGACTTTGGTCACTATTAGGATTAGAGTTTTTCTTATGAGTGAAATAGGGAGGTTTGGAGTTGTGATGATATGCTTTAAACTGTAAAAATGTCATTCTGTTTATTGTGGGGAGAATGGACCTGGCTACAGGGGTCAAGGGCAGAAGCCGGAGACTCTCGGGCAATTTCAGTAATCCAATTATAATAACAATTTAATTACTAGTTTTTCACCTCCTGTTCTGCATGATGGCTATTCATGAATATACTTTATCATCCTTGCTAAATTATAAATTCTGTATGGGGCCGGATTCCAACAGATTTATATTTTCAGACATTGGAGTTCTTAAACCAAGAAAAAAGTTTTTAGTGCCCAAAGAGTGCAAAACTGAATTGTCACTGCTTTCCACCCTTCTTCCACTCCTCTTCCCACTCTGCCATACTATGGATACCTTCCTTCCTTCCAGAATTCCTTCCTAATGCAACATACCCATGTCAGGCAGTATCTGTTCGTCTTGTAAAGGAAAAAAGTAGGGAGGATGTGAAGAACAAAGGGGAGGGAGCGAGGAGGAAGACACAGCCCTTATTCTTAAGGAATCATATGTGTGTGTTTGGCCCGTTTCATGTATTTTATATCATCATCTCATGGTTGACCTTAAAACTACATATACTCTATGTAAGTATCTTGCAATTTTATAAAATAGGAAGCCATGCCTGGGCCTTGCTATTCTCAATTTGTAAAATTTCAGATATGGCAATTTGAATTAAGTTCTAACTCAGTAGTATAATTTGAGAATAATTCTACAGAAATCGAAGAAAGTAATATAAAATTCTTTTTTTTTTCCCTGATTCTCATTCAAGGGTCTTCCTGATGTATGTCTTGAAAAGCTTTGGCTTGGGACCAACAACAACTATGAAATATAGTTGTATGAGCCAAGGAGACATAAAGGGCCCCTTTTTTCATTTTTCACAATGAAGAAGTTAAATTCTGTTCTTCTATGATGGCCCCTGACATCCCAGAACAGAGGGATAGTGCTTATGCTAAGACTAGGGGTTATAACTTAGATCAGGTACGAAAGCTCTAGTATCTAAGGGCTGGTTAATCTCCGTGCTCTTCCTGATATTTCCCCCTTGTCCCCCACCCCCCGGAATACAGGTAGAGCTGTTGCTGCCTCTAGGGAAAAGGAAATGCCAGGCAGAGTGTTCTAAATCAGACTTTCATGGTAAAATATCCATTAATAATTAATTTTCTGCTTCCTTTAGAATAGGACGGGTTAAGCGGTTGGTCACATTCAGTAAATAAGAAATTACTTGCAGTAATTTCTGCAACATTCTAATCATCTTCCCATTTCTGAAACTTATTTTAAAAGTCTTTGATCTGCATTATGGTGGAAAGGACATTGAATGTAGAAATATAGGACTTGATTATGAATTCAACTTTCCCACCCACAAATAATGTGGCTTGGGCAAGTCATTTAACCTAAACATTCCGTTTATTTTCTAGTGATGAACTGGGCAGAGCAATCCATACCCCACAGGGTTGTTATGAGCACCAGATAGGATAACATGTGAAGGCTACGAATGCAGAGGTCACACAATAAACACTTGATGAATCCAGATACTAAATGCAAACATTGGAATTATCACAGTCCTAGTAGGGGTAGTTCAGTGTTCTACCCTATACCAGTGCAAATGTGATCCTGTGAAATGGGAAATATGTCCCCTCTATCTTCTTTCTGCATATTATTAAGAATGACAATGTACTCTAATTGTTTAATTATGTCATTAAATTGGGTTTATTTTCTTCATTAAATACATAAAGAAAAGCTTTTCAATTAACAATGACCTTTATGACTTCTACTAGTTTGAATTCTGTAGATGGTGAAGCTGACTGCAAATTAGATTCTACAATGTACCTTCTTCCTTATTTTTTCACCCACTTAGTTTCATACAGTTGGCAGCAGCCTACCCTGTTGCATTCAACTTGCAATTTTGTAGCAATCTCAAACCCTGTGTTCAATCCCCCAAGGTGTTCTGCAGAAGTGCTGTCAAACGATTTCGATGTGTGTGTATTTTTATTCTGTAGCTGTGCTTTGTACTCATTTAAGAGAACCAGTCTTTAATTTGTATCGGAACGTTTTCAAGATGAAACAGCGAATTCCAGGCCTCAGCAAAATCACTGACGTATGACCACAGTTTGCTTCTGTTCTAAATTTTGAGGTGCCTGACTTCTATTAGATACAAAGCTGTATTTTTGAATCTTGTTACACGACTTTGAATAACTGGCTTCAAATTTGGCCTCAAAATCTACTAATTGTCATCATGCTTGCTTTCATCCTCTGGCTCTAGTTCACCTTCCGGTTTTCACCTCTCATCTGTCCTCCCCTATAGCTCAGGCTTCTTTCACTTTCTTGAACTGGCAGGCTCTCTCACCTCTCCCTGGTGTGGCCCACATCTAACACCTCTGTCTAGAATGCCCCGTGTCTTCCACTCTTCACCTCTTTATCTCAGGCATTTCTTATTCCAGAAAGCCTTTCTTCCTTTCCTGAGTCAAGTAACCATCTTTTGTCTCTCATGTACCTTGTGTCTGATTGAAGAAAAATATTCTTCTTTCTGTATAGTGTTAATTGGTTTGCTTGACTGTCTTCCTTACTAAACTAAAAGTTTTGGAGAGCAAGGACAGTACCTTTTTGAATCCATGAATAGTAGATGCTCCGTAAGTGTTTTTGGATAAATGAACGCTTCCTGGAAAAACTATTAGTCAGTTTATTGAAAAGACAGCAAGAATTCGCTACTAAAAGTATTATATTAGCCTTGCTACATTTAATTGCAATAGCAATATTATCAGTAAAATGTGTTTATAGTTTCAGTGTACAAGCTTACCACTCTGCAAATGCAGGTAATTTAAAAAATAACATGTATATGGTACTATTTTATGCTTTCTTCATCTGCTCCATTGTATTCAGAATTGGACTGAGTTAAACCAGGATAACTCATAGACTTTTTTTATTTCTTATAATCTCAAAGAAAGAAATGTGTTTTAATGTTGAAAACCGTTATTTGAACTAATTTAACCTCATTTAAATTTACTTGTCATCCAGATAAAATGAAAAAGAGTTTTGACTGGCTTCGAATTAAAGCGCACACACACACACACACACACACACACACAAAACAAAACAAAATTGTGTGAAGGTGTAGTTTCACATTTGCATTGGGAATGGAAGATGTCCCAGTGTGTTTGTGTCTCCTGCATTTGCGTCTGATGTTTGCATTTGATGCGGTGCTATAATTCAGCATACGGAAATACACTCAGAACCAAGATCACGTTGTCTCCCATTTTCACTTTTATTAATAGTGTTCTGTCTCTGGTAATTTGTAGGTGTTATTTGGAAGATGGAGCTTCAAAGGGTGCCTGGCTGAACCGGTCAAGTATTATTTTTGCGGGAGGTGATAAGTGGTCAGTGGATCCTCGAGTTTCAATTTCAACATTGAATAAAAGGGACTACAGCCTCCAGATACAGAATGTAGACGTGACAGATGATGGCCCATACACGTGTTCTGTTCAGACTCAACATACACCAAGAACAATGCAGGTGCATCTAACTGTGCAAGGTATGCATTTCCATCACCGCTATATCGTGAAGGACTATGCTTAGAAATGTTCGATATTCAGATATCAGAATGACTCAGAATTAACTGCCAATGCTGAGAGACATACTGTCATTTTCTTCAGGGATTTACGTTCCTAGATTCCATTAAGTGTAATGGCTATTATAGGCATACAAATTCCCACTTACCAAGATCAAAAATTATCCATTAACAGCACATTATGATTTTTTGTATATGATTCACTTTCTATCTTCCTTTGAGTCACCGCTTCAATAAATCTTTGAGAACCCATGATTGATACATTAAAATAAATCTTTAATAACCCATGATGGATATATTAAAATATTAGAACTTTTTGGAGTATGGATAGTAACTAAAAGTAATCCTCCAGCCTTCTAACACTCTGCCTCAATCCAACTTCTGTTTACTTTGATGCAAGTCACTATGAAAAAAAAGCAGTTTTCTGGAATTACTTGATTTAAATATAGAGTAATTGAAAAAATATGGTACACGATGCTTTATGCTTTGATTTATTTTCATTAGATCATAAATCATGCTAGCCAATTTATAATCTCCAAATGCAAAAAGCATCATCAAATTATTTTATTTGTATTGCACACTAAACTGTGAGAGCATATTTATCCCCAATACAAATGCTTTTCAAGAAAAATGCAATTATAAGGCTGGTAGAATGGAAAATGTGTATTTTTGCCCTTTTATTCACATTATTTTCTTGTGCTTTATAGATTGATCATGTGTTGGTTGCATAGAAATATTATGCTGCGTAACTCGAAATGACATTGCAGTGTTTTGAAGTAAAATTAATAACGAATTATATGATAACGTAGTGCCAGTGAATGCATGTTTTATTCCTAACAGGAAAGCGGAGAGAGCAAGTTAATTGTATTATCTCTGAGTTTACCCTTCAAAAAATCAACATTAAGCATTAATTTAGGCACATTGTTGCATCTGGAAAAGATTGTTAATCTATAACTTTATTAAGTGAGTTTCATTTCCTTACATAAAGGTAAACCTGAATTCAAACACAGCTTCAATTACTAGTAAATATTCTAACTTTGTGATAAAGATTAAACTTATCAACTAAACAACTTTAAGGAGGAAAGTGTGAATTGAAGAATAGGTCAGTGAATTTCCTCAATGGTTTTTATTGTAGATCATTGCAGACTGTGGTGATGTTCCTTATTTAAAAGCATAAGAGAATATAATAAAGTTTTCACTGAAGTCCATCTTTATTAAGAGATTATCCAGAGATTCCAGAGGGCAGGATTTTGTACAGCTTCGAAAACTAACGTGAGATTACCAAGTAAAAAACACATTTCTTCTGTTATCCAAGCCTAATTCTGCTGTCTTGTTTAGTTTTGTGGACCTTGACTTGAGTTTCTAGCTCAAAGACGACAAAAGATTTTTATCACGTGAGAAGACGTATACTTAGATAATAATATATTTGTCACTTGCTATGTAGACACTTTGCTTCTTGTAGGTTTATATGATATATTTCTGAACACTAAATATATCCCTCTTTCTTTTGCTCTGTTCTCTCTTGTTCCACGGTAGGAACAAGATTTTTAAACCAGATTATGGCTATATAAGCCTTGCCCAAGCATATGTTTAATTTCCATAGGATTTCTTTATAACTTTATGTTACATAGATTGTTTAATACTGCACAAACTTTAAAAACTGTTATGTGCTATACTGTGGCACTCTCTTTGCTGACCATTTGATGATGGTGAATTTTTGAACATCATTTTAGGAATGCACTTATTGAATGTTTTATCACTATAATATTTAGTTTCTCTAGAAAAATAAAATTCTTGTCACTGTTTTGAAAGTATGTCATTGGGTCAAATTAAAAGCTAGTAATTTTATAATATTTATGAACATAATTACTTATTGAAGTTGATTGACATGTGGGCAGTTTTCCAATTACATTAATAAAGTTCGGGTAATACATTAATAGGCTTGTCAGTCAACTCAAGAACTAAATAAATGTCATAAAAAGTCAACCCCACTTAAGTTACATTTCCTCTCAGTGAAAGAAAATAAACTGATGCACACATCTCTTCAGTCTTCATATTTATTGGGTTGTCCGATGCTCAGGTCTGTCTAGATAGTTTTGAACTGTATGTTCCTTGCCTAAAAATTTGTCAAGCCTTAATTCACCAGGATAAAGAAACTGAGCAACTGAGAGAAGACTATTAATCACTGATGTCAAACACACATTGGCTGGTAAAAATAAAGATCATCTTTAATTTTTACAACTGTGTACTCAAGGGAACTATTAACAACCGTCATTTTAGAAAGGGTAAAATAAAAGGGATATCTTGCCAACACAGATAATTTGCCTGGGGAATTTGTTGGTGCTACTGATTTCTTAGAGCTATTAATATCAATGGACGGAACAATGGGGGAGAAAAAAAACCACTGGAGTAGGACTTGGAAAACCTGGATTCCAATCCTGAATTTTCCCATGTGAATTGAGTAATTAGCAATCCTCTCTAAACTCTAGTTTTCTCATTTGAAAGAGGAGCACTCACACCAAAAGATCTTAAGATCCATATCAGTTAAAAACAAAAAGACGGGGGCTGGCCTGGTGGTGTAGTGGTTACATTTGTATGCTCTGCTTTGGCAACCTGGGGTTCATGGGTTAGGATCCTGGGTGTGGACCTACACACTGCTTGTCAAGCCAGGCTGTGGTGGCATCCCTCATAAAAAAATAGAGGAAGATTGGCATGTATATTAGCTCAGGGCCACTTCCTCACCAAAAAAAAAAAAAAAAAACAAACATACACTGTGATTATTTGCTTTTTATTTGAAAGGGAAAAATGTTATTTAAGTTAAAAGTGAAAAATATTCTATTATACTTGTAGAACACTTGTATTGAGCACCATGCAAACTAACTTTCACACACCAGTACCTTCTAATGTTTACTCTGTAAGTGTATTTTATGTATCTGTGTGTTTTTGTCTCACCACCTGAGCTGAATAATGGATGTACTCATGGAATTTGAAGAATGTGGTGAATTGGAGTTTGCTTCAAGGGCATAGAAATTGGCTAGTAGACTCAATAAGAAAACAATTTCATTACCTGTATATAATATAGCACTGACAAATCAAGTACCTAATTAATTGTTCGGTATTTCAAGTCACACTGTGCAGCGTTTACGAAGAGCAATCTTCCTTGTTCGAGAGTATATAAATCTACAGGGCTAGAGGACTTGTCATGGAGACAGAGACCCCTATTACAATGCTTTGATGATAGGAATTACAAAATGTAAATGCTGTCCGAATATATGACAGGGATGTCTTCTCCTTTGAGCCCATGTCTAAAATCCAGGTTGTGTACAGAACAAAATAGGCGTTCTTAGATATTGTATACTAAGTACAGATGCATTCAACAGCCCCAGCCAATACCTTGACTGCAGCCTTGTGAGACTGTGAACAGAGGACCCGGCTAAGATGTGTCTGGACAGAAACTGAAGTAATAAATGTATGTTGTTTTAAGCCACACACACACACTCAGTATATGAAGTGTTTATCGCTCAACTTGTGTCCTTTTCAGGGAGATTTATTCTGGGTTTTCTCTAGGCAGAGTAGAAGGAACTTATACATAACTCTGTGACCAGAATAACTTTCCCGGGGTATTCTGATTCCCTCAGGGTATCTGGCTTACCTAGAATATTTGTGATAGATGGAGTGGCACACTTCCCTTTTCAGGGATGGGCTTATTTTTCTAGCTGCTGGGAGTGTTGTCAGCAGATAGCGTTTAATGACCAGCCTTTTCAGGGATGGCCTCAGCTGTGGACAGCCACCTTGCCCAAGTCAAACTTTGCCTCCAGCAACCAACATCTAATGGCTGACTGAGGCAGCGATGAGTGAAGCCCCTCCCTGTCAGCCCAAAGCAGGAGAATTCCGATGGGCCATTCTGGCTCCAGAGCAGCCAAGGCTGTTGACCAGCATGCACTCTCTCTCAATTCCTGCTCTGTTCAATCCTATCTCCTTTCTCTTCTTTCTTCAAGGATTTATCACAAGGGCATTCCCTAATAGATATCCTGCACTGTAAACTCTATTTTGTTTCAGTGTCTGCTTCTCAAAGATCCTAAACAACAACAATGTTAGACTTTTGCCTCTGGCTTAGTCATTGTTTTGAGAAAGCCTTTGCAAAGTGGAAAGACAGCACATTCAAACACTATTTATTATTAACATTCTGAATTATACTGGAAGAGATTTAAATACTTATAAAGAAGTGTTAGTACACCATGATAAATTGGAGAAATTGGTGGCAAAAGATAAGGATAGTAGAGTAAGATGCAGTCAGAGATGAGGTTAGATGGCAAAATTTGTCATGATTTCTATATACTTTTAGAGTTTGGTAAAAACAATTTAGTTCTAAGATTTCTAGCAGCCAATACCCAGAGGGAAACAGGATCAGTTATTCATTTCATGGTCCATAAGGTTAAAAGTTATGTTTCTTAGTACCCTGGTCCTGTTATTCAGAATGGAGAAGCATTTCTACTGTGAGTCATCTCAGAGCATCACTGCGAGCTTTCAGGAACATCTCAGTGGTAACTGTATGGTACTCACAGCACTCATTCATAGGCTTGTTCCATATAACACCTCTCAATATAACCTAAAGTGCAGGAAAGTAAAAAAATTAAAAATCTAGAAATAAATTCAACAAGATGTCAGTTCAATAACAGAGAGATAACTTTTGATTATTGCCGTAATCTATAAGCAAATTTTAGGACCTATCCTTTCTGAGTCAAACCTCCACAAATATTATTTCTCTCAGTGGGTCTTTGAATAGGAATTCAGGGACAGATATTTCAAATTTATACTTACCAATTAGTATCTGGAGAGCAATTATTGCATGTGTGTACAAGTATAGAGCTGTATATTTTAAAGACCAGCTCATCTTAATCTAATGATAACATCCTTTTTATGAATATTATATCCTTGACAAGATACATATTGGAAGAAAAAGA